CTTTTTTCGACTGTCAATGATCCCTCCATCCTTCCATCACACTCTCTGCCCTTCGTTCGCACTCAGGCTCTGCCCCATCCTCATCCCTCTGCCCCTGTTATTTCTCCTGCTCGGACTATGCTTCCTGGTGCAGATCAGGGTGCCCTGCTTCTGACTTTGTTGCACGAGTGGTTTCACTTTAGTTATAACCTGGGGTCACATAACAATAATACGGGTCTGTCCATTGCATAACACTTGATTTGGCATGGAACCAAACTGTTAAACCTTGCTAAAAGAACGTAAGCATTTCAGCTTGCAGGCCTTTTAAACGCCATGCAGCACAGTGTGATGGGTTATTGCGCTCTGCAGCGCACGAAATGCGCTAACATGAAGCGGTTTTGTCTTTCAGGCCCGTTTTTTAACAAGGCGCTTATGCCAAACATTCATGGTCATGATTGGTTTTTCTGTCATTTTTTCCAGTTTCCCATCGTGTCATAATTTCTTGCAGCACCATCGCTTATCTCCATAAAAACCATGGCCACTCAGCAACCTAACGCACGGACTACCAGCTCAATCCCACGGCAAAGTCTATGGAAGAGAGTGAAATGGCCGAGCTGGGTGGGAGCGCGGCCGCTGGCAGCGCTGACCCACTACGCTGGCCGGGCCGGCCGGCGCCGGACGGGTCCGGCCGGCTCCCCGCCGCCCGTCCACGAGTTTCTCGGGCCCTGCAGGCTGCCGCAGCGAGAGGCCGCCAGCCGGGCGCCAACAGTCGGTCGTCAGCGGGGCTTTCTTCGAGCGGCGCGGCCGGTGGGCGGAGGCCCATTTTTGCCGCGGCCGGCGTCCCGTCGTGGTCGGCTTGGCCTGCGCCGTCGCGCGTAAGACACGCGGCCGGTAGAAAACCGTTCACGCTGCGATAAGGCTCATTCACGGCGTGGCGAGACCGCTCACGGCCGTGATTATGGCCGGTCCGCCCCGCCAGCTCACGGCCGAACAGATGGCCTGCCGGTCAGCCAGAGGTGGCCTGATAAATCGGCACGGATCGCGGGTCAGCGGCGGCCGCCGAGCGCTGGCACAGCTGCGCCGCCTCCCGCGACGCACAGCACCGCAGGCCTGCCGGCGCCGCCGCTCCAACGCCGCAGCCTGCCAGCAGGCAGCACAGCCGGTCTCAGGCGGCGTGCTGCTCTCGTTCGTGGCCGGCGGTTTATTGTCCACCAGATGGTCTCTGGGCGCTTGTTATCATTTATCGGTGGAAGATCGGTAAGGTAGCCGATTTTGAGGCTTGTCAAGTAGCATCATACCAGCAGATTAGGAGATTTCCCAGATGCAACATGGCTGAGATGATGGGTTACAGTAGCATTCTCTGGTCACATGTGGGACCATTTTGACAAAGGCTTGTGACGTCGCTGACAGTATTTGGAGATGGAGCGGCTCGTGATTAGACCAGTCATCTGCCCCCGTTCCAGATCTGGCTGATGAAGTTAGAAGAGACTCGTTATTGATGGATATGGGATACTGAACGCATGCTCGACCCAGGATTTATTGAACTTCTCTTTGATACCTGACCCAATATGATATTTCTGGGAAATCGGTCGCCAACCAGTCGATCTGTTCACAACTGACCGACTTTAGGACAAGACCTGACCGATTTGCGCTCAACATTCGCAGCCTTTTCCGGAATCAACCTGCCGCCCCATGTGTGGCGTGCACCGCGAAGGTGTCCCGTAATTCGTTGGTCGGTTTCCCGCATCCAGAGGCCCTTGCTCGCAGCCACAGCTCGGACGTCAGAGTGACAGGCTGGAATCGCCATCCGGGCCAAGGAATTAATCAAGGAAAATAATCTGGATGCCGGTGTTCCGGACGT